TATATATATATTATAGCTAGAACAGGTGATACAACATTTTGTGCCGAATTTTAAAATGCTGGGTGCAAAACTCTTGTGTGCAAACTCTTCATTTTGTTCTCTGCTCTGTGACTGAATTCACGTGCTCTTTCTATACAAATAATAACTGTAAACTGCATGTTTACTTCAAGATGGCTACCTAACATTCAGTCCACATAAAATTGTTGTGGACTTCTGAAACATAAGCTGCATAATTCATTTGGCAGCATCCTAATTAATTTGTATTTTAACACTTTAAATGTGGAGTTGAAATGTATTTTATTTTTTAATAAGCCTTATGTTACTGAGCTTCAGCTCTGCCCTCATAGTTTTATGTGACAATCAGGATCCCAGAGTAAAGAAGATAAATTGACTGTCCTACACGATGAAGTGGATTCTCTGCTTCCCTTGACTCTGTTATGCAGTTACTCAATCGTGCCTTTCAACTGCACTATTTAAATAATAAATTCTTAAATAAGAATGGTTTTTTAATGCTGTACATCACTTCTATGATAATTACAGTAATATTGTTGGCACTCAGAAGTCTGTAAATACTTTTTTACAGCCTACTAAAGTGTTTTGACATGGCATTTATTAAACCAAGGAAAACAGAAAGCAAAAATCAGATGCACTACTGTGAATTGAAAGATAACAAAGCCAATAAAATGGCACTCATTCATAATGTTTATATACTTCTTTTACGCTTAACTCTGGCTATCATTCCATTATATTAACAAAAATTTTTAATCCTTTGGTCTTTGGCCTTCCCTCCTTTACAATGGAGAATTAGAGGTGAAGTAGCCACAAGCTCACTGGCTTATTTGAAATTGGGACTAAGTAAATTCTATTTATTGGTATTCACTGCCATCTTCACCATTGCACAAGGTTTCTGAAAGAGCAGGAGGCAATCATGTGAGTCAAATGTTCAACCCATGAGACAGAAAGCATTTCACCAACAGTATATTATTGAGGTCGCAGGTTTAGCATAGCTTTTGAGGAGGCTGGAAATTTTTCAGAAATATAATTGCCTGGTCTCCTTTGGTTACTTAACCAGTAAAACTGCTGGCTTGGGATGTGTTATTTCAACACATTACCTACTGAAAATATATTTTAGATTTATATAAGTATATATTATCTCAGTAGGTTTCCTTTCTATTTTATTTCTTTCCAACAGTAATAACCTATAGGATATTTTTACCTGATTTTATATATGAATATTTCTGTCAGGAGAGAAAACTAATATGCACATAAGAATTTTTTGAGTTGCATGATAACAGCAAGGATCATTATAATACCATCTGAAACCATCACCAGAATGCACCAACAGGTATGTAACTCTTCCCCACTCATAATGTTTTTTGTTCACATTTTTCATTATTTGCTTTCTTTTCATCAATTATTATAGATCTTGAATGCTATTACTTTCATATGCAGACCTGTGTAAAATTCTTATGAAATAGTAGTGTCATATGTTTAAGGGAAAATTCTTACCCTATACCAAAGTTTTATATTTTCTAGTAAGCTACAACATAAGAATATACTCTAGAAAATCACACACTATTTATTTCTTGTAGTTTTCACATAGCCTGTGATTCCTGCTTTTGAAGGCTGAGCTGGGAATATATGCACTGACTGTAAGGCCAAACATAAGAATAAATTTGCAGCAATTTTCTTAGGTTCAGTATTTTGACATGAAGAGGTTCTCAATGAGAGCCAGCTTGAAAATCTGTAATGAAAAATGTATAGCTATTTTTAAGAAAGTTTGGGGGTTTTTTTAAAGGCATATCTTATATTTCAGTGGCATTGCAAGTAAATAGTTAATGAAAATACATTTTGAAAATAAATTTGATACATTTTTAGACTGACAACTCAGCAATATGCATCAATCTAGCTGAATGACAATATAAATGCCATGCCAAGAATCTGATAATTAAGGTGATCTTTCCTAGAAGTCTTGGAATTAAAGTGAAATCTGACAGCTTCTCTCTGGAGGAAATGGTAATGGAGATACATCTGACCAGGCTTTAATTTTGGAAGGATGCAGTACTCTATTTTCTTAATGATTAATGGGTTTTCCTGACCAAAATATAAGAAACTATCTAAATATCCAGTATAAGTAGAGTAAGGCAACTATCAAGCAAAGTTCAGTCCAGATTTTCTTCCAGTGATTAGGTCAGGCTGTCTAATCTGTAGTCTATTCTCAGAAACTACATTATCAATACTCATGCAAACAGAATATTCAAAAGAATCAAAGTTATCCAGAAGCTCTAATCTTAAAGAAGTAAATAAACCTTTAAATTCTCAAAAAACTGATGGAGATTTAACTTGCATTGCCCCACTAACTAAATTACAGTTTCAGCAGTCAGTTGTAATAATGCTTACTGCTTACATACAGACATTTGAAAATTACTGTTACAGAAATATGTTGAACATAAGGCATCAAAAATTGCCCCAAGAATAAAGTCTTTCAGATACTGTAAATGTTATTTGCCTTCTGTTTGGTCAAACTGTATTGCAATATATTTTCTTGACTGACAACTGAAGTTGTTGCTTACTATTATCTGTATTACCATAACACTGAGAAGTCTATTAGAGGCCAGAATCCCTATGCACAAATGCAAGCCAAGAAGACAATTCCCATCCAAAGAATTTTCAAACTAAGTAGAAGACGAGACAACAGATGGAGTGAGACAGATGGTTGGAAGCTGGGGGTGGTAAAAGAAAGCCCAGAGACAATATTAGGCAGTGGTTTTAAAACTCTATGAGTTTAACGACTGTCAGATGCTTTGAAGACAGCATGAAAAAACAGAATTTTAATTGGGGTTCTGAGGAATTATAATGAAGATCTGCAGATGTCTATAGGGGCTTCTTGACTGGGTGGGGAAATTGACTTTATACACACACACACACACACACATATATATATACGTGTGTGTGTGTGTGTGTGTGTTTTCATGCATTCATAGGTACCTGTCTGAAAAATCTGGTAAGAAATGATAATTTAACTTTTATTTGTGCATAAGATTGCCCTCACTATGGTGAGATGAGAAAAAAAAAAGGGTAGATGAAAGGTAATTTAGATGAGAACTTGAAAAAATGTGAATCAGGAAACAGCTGACTACCACTACTTAGATTTCTTTATGCTATCTAATCTAAGTTTACTTTTTCATTCTGAAGATGTGCTCCCTCAAGTCAGATAATATTTATGTGAATAGCTTTATAATATGGGTGCTTTTGAACAGAATTCTACCTGAATCAGCTGTGTGGTGATGGATCTTATACTGTTCTGAATGAACACAGATTATCAAAAAAACTTAAGCTCCACATACCTCTCAGTGAAGGTTCAGAGCTTTGCAACTATGAGGAACAAAAAGAACAAAATATTTCCTGTGGCCAGTGACACACTTTGAGCTCTGGTAGAATACTGTTGGCTCACAGACAGAATTTCTGTGTTATTTGTCTTGTAGTGTGTCTTGACATGACATACTATCCACAGTGATGAACATTCATGGAGATAATGTTTCCCTGCTTCTCACACCAATTGACAAGTATAATTAATAATCTTCTGGTGCCGAAGAGAGAACAAGTATTGATTCAGATAATGACACAATACATTCACATAATGTCAAAAAGCTTAATTTTACTGTGTTGTTATTGAAAAGGAGAAAATAGATCTCTTCTACATATTCTCTTCCAGATGGCTACCATAGGCTTGAATTACTTCATCTGGTCTCAGTATCAGAAACAAAGCCCAACAGACTTCAGAAATTCTGTGTCAATTCTAGTGACAAGTGGTTCTGGGAATGATCAGTCAACAGGAGGGAAAACCAAGTGGGATACTGTGGTAGGCTGACCCTCTCTGGACACCAAGTGCCCACCAAGCCACTCTATCACTGCCCTCCTCAGCACAACATGGGGAAAGAAAATAAGATGGAAAAGAACTCAGGGGTCAAGATAATGGGAGTTTAATAATGCCAAATAAAGGTTGCGTGTGGAATCAAAGGAAAACAAAAGATTTATTCTCTACTTCCCAAAATCAGGCAATATGCAGCCACTTTGCAGGAAGCACGGCTTCAGTATGCATAGTGGTTGCTTTGGAAGACAAGCACCATAATAATGAATGCCCCCCTCACCTCATCCTCATTTCTCTTAGCTTTTATTGCTCGGCAGATGTCATATGGTGTGGAATATCCCTTGGGTCTCTTCGGTTCAGCTGTCCTGGCTGTGTCCCCATCCAAGATCTTGCCCACCCCCAGCCTACTGGGTGAGGGGGGGATGTTGGAGAGACAGCCTTGATGCTGTGCGAGCAGTAACCAAAACACTGGTGCGTTATCAACACCTACAGCTACCAGCACGAAGCACAGCACTGTGAGGGCTGCTGTGGGGAAAATTAACTCCACTTCAGCCAGACCGAAGAGACAGAAATTTAAGAAACAGTTCATGAGAAAATTTTTCACTACCAGAATGGTCAAGTAGGCTATGCAGAGTGCAGTTGTGCAACTTGACCTTGTTTTGAGCAGAAGGTTGGATTAGTGATGTCCTGAGGTCCCTTTAAACCTGAATTATCCTATAAACCAAATGCAAACCAAATTCAGAACAGAGAACCCATCACTGGAAGAATGAGCAATAAACCATGATCTCTACAGAACAGTAGGTGTGTTGAGGATGCTTTACTGCCTCAGCATTTTGAGCCCATAATTTAAGAGAAATGTTTTTGGAAAGTTTCTCTAATTTGGACCTTCACTAAGACAATGGAAGTGTCTAACATGGGATTACTATGGATGCAATACCGCCGTTTCACACAAAACAAGAACACATACGAACTTTAAGAGAGACCACCAGTGGGAGACATAGTATGGGAAAAACAACAGGCTCTGTTGACACTGAAATGGTCCATAGCCACAATGTGAGAGAGAAGTCCAGCACATTAAAGAACATGTCTGCTGCACCCAGAAATTAAAGGGGAAATAAGAGACAATTATTTTTAAGTTTATAGAGTTTAATATGAAGTTTCTGAAATCACTTCTGTTAGATGAGAAAGAGTACATCAGCTTATAGGGGAAAGATCACAAAGAGAATAAAAGGTGAAGACTACAGAAAACAGAGTGGGCTTGAGCTCTGTAATTAAAAAGTAAAAATTAAAACTTAATGGGCGAAACATAAGATAGTGAGTTTGCATTACATTCTTGTCTGCAGACTTTCTGTTCCTTTCAATACACAGTAATTGCTTGGAATGATTAGTAAAATAAATTCTGACCAGGAATAAGAGACCTTCAGAACAAAAGGCTGGACACTTGAGCAAAAATGAGCTGCTCCCCATAAAAAATTCAAAATGCAAATTGCAGTTTTCACACTCAATATTATTACACAAATAAAACTCAAAGCAGAATTAACATCACAAATATAAATTTTCAGTTTGCTATTTTTTATTATATTCTAAATCTGTTTCTTGTGTCTACATTTGTGTTTTTTTTTTCTTTTGGCAATACAGAGAATTGTCTTAGTCAGACTGCATTGGATTTTAGCTTTATTTCCTTCTCTTTTAACCAGTTTCATAACTTTGTGAGAAAAAGGGAAAAACAAAAGGAAAAAAAGAATCCTTGTAAACTATTATAACAACTCAGGTCCTCACCTTGGTCATTCTATAGGTGTGAGTATCAAAGTGCAAGCACAAAATAATACAAGGCTTTTTAAATTAAAAATATTTCTTATATAAAATTGAAATTAGTTTTAAAATATAAGTATTTTTATTTGATTTTTTAAAAAATTTGCATTGTAAATCAATCACTTTTTCATCCAGATGAAAAAAATAGTCTTTGGTGATCTTCATAAATTCTAAACATTTAAATCAGTTTTAGACAAAAATAATTGTCAAATCATCCTTCCTGTATGATACAATCCTTCCTATATGAATACCTCGTTTTTTCTGCCTAAATTAGACTATGTGTTTGAGGAAGCTAAAGATATCTAAACTTCATACAAAGACATAAAGTACTGCAAAAAGGTATAGATTCCCTTGTTACATAATTATCTTATTTGTTAAAAACAAAGCTAGTTTAATTTCTATATATTTGGGGTTTAGTGATTGGATGTTGCATTCTGCATTAAAGATATAACATTTGTGTAGTATCTCTGCAAAAAGAAAGAAATGGATAAATGCTTCATTTTTCCTTAGGCATTAATTGTAGTATAGAGATAACTCAGGGTCTTGTTAGGGGATGATAGGTCTATTTTTTTCTTCAATGTTTATATATAGTTATAGAATTATCAGTATATTTCATGACAGCTTTTTGAAGAAGTAGTTTTGAAATGTCAAAGACATTTCATAGCAAGCAGACCACATATGATGACCAGTACTTTCTTGTACTGGGAGGAACATGTGAATGTTTGTAGGTACTTCAGGATTTTTTTTCCCCCTTTTTATTTAACTAGCTATTACTTGAAAGGCTTCAGACTGATTTATTTATTTATTTATTTATTTATTTAAATAGCCTGACCAACTCTTAAAATAAGGCTACTAAGCCAAATGCTCCATTTTTCAACATCTGTATTTAAGTCTTTGGAATCAGGAATATTTGTTTATATTTCTATTTGTTCTACTAAACTATCTTTTCAGTGACAATGATATAGAAAGTCTAATATTTTTTTTTTCTGATGTATAACAGTATCTATATAAGTTTTAATATGTTTTGAGCCAAAGTATAAGAGAACAAATTGATTTTCAGGTGTGTTTGTTATTCTCAAGGCTCCTGAAATGGCATAAACTGAAGAAAGGTAATAGTCCTGATTATTAATTAGGCTCAGTTTCATTACATTTTCTTAGGTAATTAGCAGCAGTTTTACAAATAACATAAGGGAAATAGTTTCCACAAAGAATCCAAAGGGTATACTCCTTGCTGTCTTAAAATTACCCTGGAGAACTGACTACTAGGTGGACTTGTCATTTTTTTTTAATCTCTTTTGATGTCTGATTTTTGTGCTCAGTTCTCTTCTGCTGATTTAGGTTACTCTCATCGGAAAGTATGTTTTGATCAATTTAATTATTAATTGACTTGTAAATATATGGAAAAATAATTTACAGTTAGATTTTTCAGTACTGCTTTTTGAAAAACGTACCATTACACTTCCTTTCTTCTTGTCAGGAAGTAAGGTATCATTAAAATGTATTTATTACAGTCCAATTGTGCTAGGATTTGGAACAATCATACTCTATCTTAATCAAAAAAAACCCCTCTATAGTTTATTTTTTCCCATCCAAGCACTCCGCTGAACCTCCATTCTCTCTTTATGTGCTACACTCTTATCATCTTAGCAACAAATGTGTAAATTTGCAATATAATAATAAATAAATAAAAGCGGTAAAGGAAAACAAATTACAATGTTCTCAATAATTTTAGATTACCAAATCCCAGTGAAGATTAGATGAACCCACTCTCTTCCCACTTACAAAATAAAATATATATATTTTTAATAAAGCTGGGAATAACTGATGCTATCTTTCATTACACCTGTCCTGTAAACAGAACAGCACAACATCATGTAATCAGAAAAGAGAAAGTGTCTGAAGCCTATTCAATTCCTCATAAAGATTATACAGCCTACAGCAAATGTTTCACTACTTTTTTTTTTTTTTCCTATCAAGAAAAAAAAATGGCTAGAAAGGTCATGGATGATACTGAAAATAGTAGGTTAGGTGAAACAGTAGTAAAAAATAATACAGTACAAGAGTGAGAAAAATACTTCAGATAATTCACTCAAGGCCTATGTGAAGTTTTAACCTCCTATAAATGCAGGAAACTTTTTTTTTTTAATTCATAAGGATCAGAAATTAAGACTTTTTAGTTTATTTAATGAGAATGTAGTTTAATTTTAATGAGAATTTGCTTAATCTACATTATTCTGAGGAAGTAAGAGAGATTTTATCCTAATAATTTTTGAAGATGTGGGCTAAGAAATGCCAAAAGAAGACCAGGTTTTCACTGAGCAGTAACTTGGGAAGGAATAAAAAGAAAAGGATAAGAATAGACAATCCAGCTGATGATTGTTCTTCCTATGGGGTTAAGCAGTCTTATCTCTCAGTGTCTTCAGTGGGTGTTAAGAATATTCTGTATGTTTTTTAATGCCCAAATCATTCACTGGAAAGTATGAAATATTCTTCCTCTGTCTTTTCCTTTAACCTAATATTAAAATCAAACTCAATCAGCCCTGTATTGTCATTAAAATACATTTTCACTAGTACATAAGCTTTTGGCAGATAAGGACATATATAATACCAAATCCATTTCAAATCTTCAAGCATTTTTTAAAGATTTGTTCAAGGAAGATAGAGCACAGCTTTTTTGAACGACAATGATATTGTGCCAGCCATGGAAACAAGTGGAAAAGATTAGTAGTGGTACACTCTTAAGCTTCACAGAACAAACTCTCCAGATAACATATTATAATCAATAACGAAGAAATCTAAATTGCAATTCGGTCTTCTTGTATAAAAATGGAACTTTTCCTAGTTACAGCATTCAACTTAATTGAAGTATCACTGAAGAATTCTTTTCAGAAGGGAACTGTTATCCCTATGAAATGAAAACATTTATGAGGAACAGCTTGATGAATGAATAGTTCCTTCCTTGTCATGCTAATTATTCTTATAAAGGAGCCACAAATAGAAAAAGGGCTGTATCCAGTTTCAGGCACAAAACATATAAAATATGACTTTCAGATGAGCAAACATTTTTCATCAAATATGCTAAGACTGCTTATTTTCATTGTAAAGATTATTACCTCTCTGAGGTCAGACCCACAATGATGCTAAAAGATGTCAAAAAGTAGCCTCAGCAGTTTTGAAACATAAATTTGCCTATAGAGATTTGTAAATTTCAACCACATGGCTATGCAAATCCACTAGTTTTTATATATTTTAATTAAATGTATCAATGTTAATAGATAACTCGAAAGAGAGGACTTTCGGACATTAGTTTTAACGGAAAAAAAAAACCAAAACCAAAACAACAAAAACCTACTGTACCTAGTGTGTACTTCTCCTGTGCTTGAGTAGCTCTCTCTGTGGTTGCATCTCATTGTTGCACAGGGAACTTGCTTAAGCACATGCTTAGTTATATGATGATTTTAGCATGATTTTAGCCAGTAGTCTGAAGTTTAACTATGCTTAGTGCTTTAATTTCAATATTTTTATTTAATTTACAACACTACTGCTGACATCATTCAAAAAAAAAGTGAAAGAAGACTGGAAATAAATCTATTTTTGAGTACAGTCTTTTATACAGTAAGTATTCCTTTATCAGCAGTACTGGAAGTGTTGTAGGTCCATCTAGATCTAAAAGCTTCTCACATAGCCTCATGCTACCTATCTGATTCAAGAGATTAATATTAATACTTATTAATTTCATTGCTGTAATGTCCATGGCTGAACTTTACTGATCTTCAAATGGCTCCAAAGGTCTTTCAAATTAAGTACGGGGCAAAAGACAACTAGATGGATATAAGCAAACAGACAGAGAGTTAAAGGAAATGATGACCTTATATTGTCAGTGTGCTAAGCA